AAATTAATTTATTTGGTTAAATAATGTTAAATAAACATTTGGATAATGTAATTTGTATATTTTCTTTATATACTTACAGCTCCTCCAGAAGGTCCACCAGCGCCACCTGTAGCACCAGAAGGTTCAGCGGATCCTGCAAGAGCGAGAATGGAAACATCGGCGGGGTCTTCTCCTGGGATCAATCCTTGTTCGTTGGTGTAGATAGTGGCTTTGAATCCTGTACCGTCAGCACTGTAGTCAACCTTTCTTTGGCTTCCACCTTCATGGGTCAAGCTGTAAGAACCCACAACCCTGCCTGAAGCATCGCCACTTTCTGACCGGCCGTGGAGTCCACCTCCAGAAACAGCATTGTACATGAAGTCGAAAGGAGTACCCTGGAATAATTTAGAACATTTAAATTAGAGTCTTTCTTACTTGCAAGTTTCAACTCTTTTAGTATTATTTATTGTATCATTAATGCATCACGAACGAAAAATATTATCACCGGATTTTGAATTTTTTTTAAAGGAAAACAAATTTCAAGTTGAAATGGGAATTTTACTAAATCTTACTTTTAAGTATTTCAATCTTACTAGAGAAATAATCTATATAGAGTTTTTAAGATAAATAAAATACACAAAATCCCATGATAATGATAATTAAGACTTCCACTTTAAAATTGTCTAATTACGCATTGTATTATTACAAGTATGACGAAAAATGCAATACTTCCACACGGTGGGACAGTAGTAAGTCTGTGGACTAACAACGCAAAAATCCTGGGTTCTATTCCACCGCAGTAGATACAACATATAACCAAATGTGGCTGTGTTCTAAAACCAGCAAACAAACTCCCACTGAACGTCGAAACAGACTAGAGAACCACCGATAACTTGGTGTAAAGGTTACAAATGGCCGATAGGGTGTACACCAGCTTGAAACTCCTTTGGCTAAGCTTTCGTCAAGTTTTGAAACCAGATAATAAAATATTTACCAACTGTACAAAGGATTAACATATTAATATATATATATATCTTTGAAAAGCTTACTGCTCCTCCAATAGCGCCTCCTGCAGCACCAGAAGGTTCAGCAGCGCCACCTGTAGCACCAGAAGGTTCAGCGGATCCTGCAAGAGCGAGAATGGAAACATCGGCGGGATCTTCTCCTGGGACCAATCCTTGTTCGTTGGTGTAGACAGTGGCTTTAAATCCTGCACCACCAGCACTGTAGTCAACCTTTCGTCGGCTTCCACCTGCATGGGTCAAGCTGTAAGAACCCATCACTGTACCGGAAGCATCGCCACTCTCAGTACGATCATGAGATCCTCCTCCAGAAGCAGCTGAGTACGTCATCGAATATGGGCTACCCTGTAAAGTTAATGAGTTTATTTTTGGTAAAATATGATTTTCTTCTTTTACTTCGTATTTTATTTAGAAGATTTCTTCAAGAAATAGTTTTACTATCAAGAGAAATATAAGAAAAATTAAAAAATCACGATCATAACACTCCAACCTTTTTATGCTCAATTTATTCATTTGTTTCATAGACGAAAATCAGAAAACCCCAAAGGAGATGAAGTAGGAGTTAATCTGTCCTCTCTTCTGGTCAACTTTTCTAGCTCTAGGCTTGGACGCACCATTGCCATCAGGATCTCAGGCTGCTGCCCCATCAGCGCCCTCTCTTGGCTTCGTGAGTATATGTTTGCTTTACTATCTGAACGAGTAACATTGTTTTTTAACTTCCTGACCTGTGCATGTTTTCACACAAACGAACTGCAGTAGTTACGAACCATTAGGTTAGTTGCTCCTATAAAGGAATGACAATTTAAAAATGTAGAAGAGTGTAGACTGATTTGGTTATTCCTTGTAGCCCTCCCCCACCCTTTTGTTTTAAAGGCAGAATATGTTCACTGGTGTTAGAAAACCTACACTTGATAGTTGTAATTGACTTTCTCTGTTTGTAGATTTAATACACATTTGCTTACATACTTGCTAAAAGAAACTTTAAGCAATAGTATAATTATCATAGACAAGATAACACATCGATAATTTAGGTTTTGTACATCTGCAGGATTTTCTCCAGCTAAGATTCCTTGTTCGTTGGATTTCACTGTTGCTGTAAAACCAGAAGTACCAGCATTGTAGCTAACGTGGCGCTGACGTCCGTCTGGGATGTTGAAACTGTAGGATCCACTAACATCTCCAGCCGTTCCTTCAGATTCTGCTCTGGAACTGAATCCTCCTTCACCCTCAGCAGTGTATGCAAAGGCAAAGGGACTAGGCTAGTAAAAAAAAGGAAAAAATTATCAATGCATGTTCGCTTTTTAAAAATTAATAAATGTTAAACACATGTTGTTTCTTATTCTTACCTCTTCAACAGCTGCTGGAGCCTCAGGAGCAGGGGCAGAAAGTGAAACAGCCAACGGTCTGTACTGAGCGTGTGGTAGTAAGTTATAGTAAAGTGGACTGCTTACATAAGTTCCGAAACTGGCGCCAAGCGCCACAAAGGAAAGGAACACAATAACCTGGAAAGAAAGTTTACTTAGTTATTACCACACATAAAAACAAAACAAACACACACTATAAAATTGGTACAATTTGTACTGTAAGGCTGGTAGATTTGGTATAATACGTTTGGTAATGAAGAAAATATTACAAAGACAATCGAAATCAAATTAACAATTGTTTGTTTCAGAGTAGGACTTTAGACATTAAGCTGTTTTATAAGTTAAACAGCTAAGGGGTTAATTCCCCTTTCCTCTCCCCAGTATTTAAAGAGAAACTTTCTTTTTCTTAGTATAGTAATTGCAAGAATATTACGTTAACTTAGTTTACTTCCCTTAAAATAAAGAAACGTGGGTTTCAAAGAAAGTTAAAAAATATATATAATTTCCCATGTTTTTCATACTAATTATGTTATAAGTAAAATGAACCTACTCTGAGAACCATGCTGAGGCGATTCTTAATCCGTCTGTCTCCTCTGCACGGCTGATGTCTGTGTCTCTCAGCTCTGAACACCCTTATATATACCTGGACAAGAAAACATCTTTAGTCCACGCGGAAGGACGACAAGGTCTTCTGCCTTTACAGATGATCCAGTTTCCATACGAACGACCTTCTCTGAAACCTTGAATGTAGAGCGTCGAGTCTCATCCTTCTTGTTCTACCTGTAAGAAGACTTCTAGTCGTTTACTTCACTCTCTTTAAACCGGAGTTTGCTTTTTTCGATATTTTATCAAGCCTTGGATCTGATTTTTGAATTATTTGTTTTTCTTTACATCTCTTCTAAATTATAGATCCCATCCTTGTTGCTCGCCTTGCAGCAGTTCGTCCTTCGTGTTATCAACTAACTTGTCTTGCATTCAAAAGATTGTTTGCATCAGAATATTCCTCTAATAAACATCCAAAAAAAATGTGATAATGTTATAGCGTTTCAAATATGTTTTAACACTTTAGTTAACAGTCATTCTATTTCAATATATAGTCTTCTCATAAAGAAAACTGAACTAAATTTTGTTTTTCCTACAATACATTAACTGGGGAACTTTAAGAAATTTAAGTTAAACCTATATAATTTATTTGGAAAAAATAATGATTATTAAAACCGCTCTGAAACACTTTTACAAACGATAAAATAATAACATGTAAGACATGTAGTGAAAGTGGTTATAAAACTTTGATTCTAAAAATAAGGCATAATTTGTTGTAATAATTAATGAAAAACTGAATCACAGTAATGGGTAAGTAATATTAAGAAACAGAATTCACTTTTATAAATTATAAATAAATATTTAATGATTCGCAGTTCTGGGAAGATACGTTAACTTGTTCATCAATTTCTTGGAATGTTGCCCAGTGTTCTAAATAAGTATAATATATTAAATGCCAAGATGTAAAGATAGAAACAAATTTACATATACAAATGTTTCAATAAACAGAGTTGTTCCATAGATAAGTTATACAACTACTTTCAACTGAATAGTTACCTATTTAAATAGGCTTAACAGAGTATCATCTGTAAACGTAAGAACCATAAATTAAGCTCAACATTTTTCAACTTGAAGATGCATAATATCTAAAATGTAAACCCCATCTTATTTCTTTTGATTAGTTCAAGCGTTTCCTAGATTATTAGACCTACTAGATAACTTTTCATAATATCACACTAACCTAGATTATTAGGCCTACTAGATAACTTTTTCATAACATGACACTAAACTAAATTATTAGGCCTACTAGATAAGTCCTTCATAATATCACACTAAACTAAACAAATAAATATTATTAGTTATATTTACAGTAGAAACTGCTGATATGGGTATTAAATCTTTTTTTAAACACAAAACAAGTAACAACGTTTCGACCTCGTTAGGTTAAGAATGACATTTGAAAAAGTGACCGTTATTGACCACTTAATTTGTATTTAATTCAAGTGGGTTGCTCGTTTCCATAGATTATAAATTACTTTAAATGATTTATATATATTCAACACAAGTTTCTCAGTACTAAACTTGAAGTATTTTTGTTGTCAATCCACTTTTGATCAAGGTCCAGCTTAGTAATACATTATTCAAGGACTTTGTTTTTTTCTCGTGATCGTTTTAACGACCTTGTTTTTCTCGTCTTTTCCTCGGGACTTGTACGTGCAGTCATGTGAATGCATCATCTTTTAGTTTTTAGCTTCAAATTTGTAAGCATTTGATAAAGAAATGTAACTATTAGTTTTTTATCGAACGTTGTCAATAATTATATAGAAAGACAGTATTTTGTTCTAGTTTTTAATATTCTCTTTATTTGTCTTTTAGGAATCTTAAATATTGTTGTGCTAATCAAAAACTTTTTTGTAATTATATTTGTATTGTTTTGTTTTATGTTTCTTATCATAATTCTCATACGAATAACACGTTTAAAAGTTTTCCAAACAGCTGATGTCTCCTAAACTAACCCTAAAGCAGTGTTTGTTGTTTCTTAGCTCTTCTGTCAACAGATTGTTGTTTAACATTTACAGAACATTAAATGTCTCCTAAACTAACCCTAAAGCAGTGTTTGTTGTTTCTTAGCTCTTCTGTCAACAGATTGTTGTTTAACATTTAGAGAACATTAAATGTCTCCTAAACTAACCCTAAAGTAGTGTTTGTCGTTTCTGAGCTCTTATATCAACAGTTTGTTTTTTAACAGTTAGAAAATATTAAATGTCTCCTAAACTAACCCTAAAGCAGTGTTTGTTGTTTCTTAGCTCTTCTGTCAACAGATTGTTGTTTAACATTTAGAGAACATTAAATGTCTCCTGAACTAACCCTAAAGTAGTGTTTGTCGTTTCTGAGCTCTTATATCAACAGTTTGTTTTTTAACAGATAGAAAATATTAAATGTCTCCTAAACTAACCCTAAAGCAGTGTTTGTTGTTTCTTAGCTCTTCTGTCAACAGTTTGTTATTTAACATTTAGAAAACATTGAATGTCTCCTAAACTAACCCTGAAGTAGCATTTTGATTTGACGAATTAATTTTAATTTCATATTGACTAATATTGATGTTTAAATCCAATATTAAACCAAAGGATTAACTTGACACGATTAACCGTACTTACACAGAAGCTTTGTTAACATGGCTAACAACAAAAGCTAAAAGTACATTAAATGAAAAAAAAAAAGACTCCACTATTCCCATCAAGTGGCATAAGTTAGTAATCAAGAAGTCCTGTAAACCTAGTTTGGCGCAGTGGATAGGGTATCTGGAACATGGAGATCAAGTTCCATGTTCGCATCCCATTGACGTGAAAAAAATAAGGAATCGCGCTTTGGATTGTAGATGAATTAGGCATGACAAGAGTAACCCAAATGTTGGCGTTAGATGATATTAACTAGCTGCATTCCCCATAGTTTATCATTTCAGAAGTAGGGACTATTAACCTTTGGGCGAAATTCAAGAAACATACAAACAAAATTACCCACACGCGCGAGGCACACGTCAGAAACTTACTTTTTTAGAAGTATATATAGTAATGTAAATATGTGGGTGTGTTGAACAAAGGATTCTTCTACTGTATCTGTGGCTTGTTGGCGATAAATTCGACAGTAAACGAACAGCACGCACTCCACTTGTTTTTAAAATAATATATATATTCGAAACAAGTTAAATGTATGTACAAACTTCTTTACACTATGTAAATCATAGTTATATCTTAAACACTATACAGTTCTCTTCTTCTTGTGAAAAGTTCACTTAGGCCAATTCAATTGCTTTAGAATTAAGTTGACAAGCCAAACTATTTTTATCGCAATAGTATCCATGTATAGTTCATTTACACTGTCGCGTGAGTTACCGCAGTGGTATCCTTAACTTTCAATAATCGTCTGCTCTACGTACTTCTAATAACTGTCTATCTTTTGTCAAAGTCCACACAGGCGGGTTTAATTAGTTTAAAACACCTGACAGGACATATTATTCTCCTTCTCTCTTTCAAAGTGTTAATCCCACACTAACATATCAACTGTTGGACCATTCACTTCCACTTTACGTTTTCTAAATTTTCTCTGACCGAACTTTTCTTTCACGTGACTTCACTTTTACTTTCATTTTTCGTCGCCTGTTCGCACCTATTTATACGTCTATCACTTAGGTTTGTTTGTACACAAAGCTACACAATGGGCTATCGGTGCTCTGCCCACCACGGGTATCGAGACCCGGATTCTAGCGTTGTAAGTCCGCAGACATACCGCTGTGCTACTGGGTGGCATTACTTAGGCCTTCTAGAAATCCCCATAGTTTCGACATAAAGTAATTACAAAAGTAAAATAAGTAAATTAATAATATTACCTACACTAAACGGTATTTTAATACCTGACTTTGGCCAGGTGGTTAAGGCGCTCGACTCGCAATCTGAGGGTCACAGGTTCGAATCTCCGTCACACCAAGCATGCTCGCCCTTTCAGTCGTGGAAGCGTTATAATGGGAGGGTCAATCCCACTATTCGTTGCTAAAAAGAGTAACCCAAGAGTTGGAGGTGATGACTAGCTGCTTTCCCTCTAGTCTTACACTGCTAAATTCGGGACGTGTAGCTTTGCGCGAAATTAAAAACAAACAATATCTGACTGTAAAATAAAACATCTAAATCTAATCGTGGGGTTCGTAGCGAAGTTTGATCCTATGTAGTCTTCTAGATGAGTCAAAAGTAAATTTATTGAATTACAATGTTAAAAGCGGAGGTTCGATTCTCCGAGGTTGACAGGGCGCAAATTGCCCATTGTATAGCTTTCGATCAAATGACAGTGACTTTTAATTACGGATTTATTAGAGCTGCATCAGATACGTAAAAGTAGAAAAACATTGTTCTTATTTATACATTTCTTCAGAAGCATAAAAATGATATTTTTAGAGGATCATTTATTTTATGTTGTTAAATTGTTTTTGTTAACAATCTATTTTTTTAGCCTTTTTCTTTTCGTAAATCATGAAACGTCCGTTACTGTAGAAGAAATTTAATTGACATTTATAGTGATTTTGTTTCTCGAATTTCACGCAAAGATGTTCGAGTGATATTCCGTCGTTAATTTTACAGTGATGGACTAGAGAGAAGGCAGCTAATCAACACTTACCGTTATTTTCATCTCAGATAACTGTGTCTCCGTAGATGAAATAAAAAGTTCGTTAACGTGCTAAAACCGTGGTAGTATTGTCTGATGTGTCGTAGACGTTTACCAGAACACGGATAGATATTCAGGTGATTCGCAACGTGAACGAATGTGAAAACGTTGCTATTAAAGCATAGTTTGACTTTCATGTGATGGGATATAACAAGTCCTATAATTGTTGTCTTTCCTTTTAACGTTCGTTACATTCTGTGTTGTAGATGTACGTTTTTACTTTCAATTAGATCTTTAATATATATAGAAGTTATCTAAGTATAGGTTTCCGTTTCTTTTCTTTCATTACTTACCGAGTACTGACTTCAAGTTTTCACTTCTACCTGTACTTTGTACGAACCACAGAACATAGATTCATATTAACAGGGTTTTCAACAATGAGGGTGACCACCTCTGTAATTTACATTGTCTTTATAATTTAAAGCATATTACTGATAATTCTTAGGTTATCCAATAAGTTGACCTTTAGGTTTGTG